ATTTAATTATAATAGTATATGAAAGAAAAAAAATGTTGTTATTGCTATATATTATAATTGATAAAAGTAAAAATATCTTACTGTCAGCTAAATTGTTACTACATTAAATTTAATCTTATCTTCACTATCCTGACTTATTATTTATCTCACATTTTATCTGACAACAGTTTTTACGTGCTCCTTACATGTTAACTTCTGAAATGAATAACATTGCATTATTGCACTTTATTTTTTGCTTATTTCATTCATCGATACAAAAAAAAAAAAATTAATACGGAGTTTGTTTATGCTGCTAAAAACATCGAATGACGATTGAAATGGACTAATATCTAAATATCTAATATATATTGCATAAAGAAAGGTTAGATTAGGAAAATAACTGAAAACAAATATAAACCAAAATAGAATAAGATAAAAATATTGGTGTACAGAATACAATAGCGCGCGTAGTTATAAAGGTTAAAAAAGACAGTGAACATTCAAATAACATATTGCATCAGTGAATACAATTTTTATTTACAGAACATTAATTAATATTTTATACTTGAATAATATTTAAATATAATTATTAACTATCTAATGGATAGTTATAATAATATTAGTACAAATGAAAAATATTAATTAATGTTTATTTGTATACATCATTTACATCGTACATTAAATGGTAATGCATTTTAAATATTGTCAATATATATTATATAATAAAAACAATTACATTCTATAAAAATGGAATTTAAGCCAATAGTTTTTCCTCGAGATTTTTGATTACTAAGCTTCTGAATTAGATCTGAAAAATCAAGTGTGTTTATTATTTTCCTTTCAGAGAATAGACGAACAAGTTAGTTTAATTTTTCTTGTTGAAGAGACGTTTTGTAGGCGTTTTAAATTAGTTCTAATTTTGAATTTGTTCTTTCTATTTTACAATTCAAAATTAGCAAAGTTAAATAAATCTGTAAAGAAATATACAGTATATTACACACATTTAAAAAATCTTCTTTTATTTTCATGTAAATACAAGAAAATATTTTGAGGAGAAATCATTGGTAAATTTAACTACATAGAATAACTAGAATATTACACAATTTTTTGTTTTATATAAATCATATTGATATCATCTTTAAATGTGTTAATGAATATGTCAGCAAAAATCTCTGATAATAATTCTGAACTGAATTTTGTCATTAGACCAAAAATATTACTTATGAGTACATTATAATATGTGTTTAATATTTTATCAAGTTCAGTAACTAAACGATTAATAATAACGTAAAAAGTATTAACCTCTAACTTTCTTATCTCGCAGTTTAAATTTCCTTCAATTGATCAATCCGGGAATTTTTTTCTTTAGTACTTTTTTTTTCCACAGGGCCAAATATTTTCTGATAATTCCTATACTTTGTTTTCAAAATATATAAGCTTCTCTCTTAATGAACTAACATCAGTTTTAATTGTATTAATAAATGTACAGATATAAACAAATCTATTTCCGGTTTTTGAAGGTATTTACTAACACTGTAAAACTGCAATAAAATTTCACTCCACATAACTACTATAAAAGAAGTTTTAAATTTTATCATTTTATTTTTCATTGGCCTCATAATGATTTTCTTGTTTCCTAATATTTCTAGATAATGTGCGGCTTACAACTGTTACATAGCTAGTGTGATCACACATGTGTTTAAAGTTTAAACTCGACTAATACGTTGATGATTAGGTGACAAGGTGGGTTAAACAAATGATTAAGTACATTTGTTTTAATATCTTATTTTATTTATTAAATAGTAATCTTAAATTATAATACGAAATTGACTAATTTGTTTTGTAAATGTCTAATAAAAGAAATAATATCATAAAATTTCACAGTACCACTGTAATATTTAATTATCCGGTGTATCCGAATTGGTTCCCGGGTTGTTACGAAGGGTATATCCGAATTGGTTCCCGGGTTGTTCCGAATTGGTTCCCAGGAAATGGTTAAAAAATTGTGGCTTTTGTCACGAATGTCATTAAAAAAAATGAAAAATAATACATAATATAATAATAATAATACAGTTTTTCAACTCGTCAATTTTTTTTTTTTTTTTAAGTATAATAATTAGGTATATATTAATGTATTACTAAGGTAAAAATTTGCAACAAACATTGTTTATAAATTCTAATTTAGTAATTTCATTACTTTTGTATTTGTCCATTTCTATTTTTATAAATGTTTCCTTATTTTTGGACTTCAAATTCTGTAATTTGTTTGTACTTCGCAATTTAACATACGTTTCAATTTGAACTTCTTTCAACACATCAATAAATTGAAAAATGTTCGGATTTGCGGAATAGAAACAACTGTTGAACTTGCTATATAAGTTCATATTAAAGCAAAATTCAAAAATTCAAAAAATCAAAAAAGCAATTTTGTTGATATGATTTTTAAAACATGATCGAAAAAAAAAGTTTCTTGTCTACCTAGAATATCGGGAACCAATTCGGATGTGTGTTCCGTGGAATATCGGGAACCAATTCGGATGTGTGTTCCATGGAATGTCGGGAACCAATTCGGATGTCAATTTTCAGGTATGGGAACCAATTCGGATGCAGCCTAATTATCAACAGGGGTCCGAGGTTACAGCCCCTCCCCTCTAGTTGGGCTCTGTATAAATTTAAACATTCAATAGACTATGTTCATGATGGAATATAAATAAAAAAATTACTTTAGCTCATTGACTTTCGTGTGGAGTTATTATGTGTACTTTAATGTTTTCTGGGGAAAAAATAGAATCGACTAATAGAGGCAGAAGTGCTCAATTTTGGTTGGAGACATTTTAAAAACATTTTTTGTATGATATTTTCCTAGGAAGTTGTATTCAAAACTAAGTTGTGTAGTCTTAACTTCTACTTACAAATATTTTATTTATTAAATATACAATAATAATATGTAGATATTAGAGTAACTTAGGAGCATTTATATAGCATCATTATATGTTATGTGAACAGTTATAAATTAGTCGTTTATTAATTAAAACAAAATTTATGTCAAAAATTGGAATTTATTTTAAATTTTTCTCAATTATTTTGAAAAGTAAATAGAATTTTTCACTTTTGACCTCTCAAAAGAAATACTAAATCAATTCAAAGTTATTACAAATCACCGTCAAAGCTTTTTTGATGTTCCTATCAAGATGACACTAAACAAATAAAACAAAATAAAACCTACAATATAATATATACCTATATTATATACATTCATAACTCTGTTCAAATTAAAAAAATAATGGTAAATTTAATTTAATTTTGTCATTTTTATTAAATTACCTCGGTATGAAGCCTAATTAAAATTAACATACCACCTACTTGTAATATTTATTACCTGTGTTTTATTTCCATTGTATGGTAATGTTATAGTACGAGTTTTAATTATTGCTTTAACAAGAATAGTCTATGAACATAAATATACACCTACTCAACTTCTATGTAAATAGGTAATTCGTACATTTATGATTCTATGTTATATTTCCTTTTGAAAAATAACTTATATTACCCTATGCATATCATATAAACAAAACGTACATTATCTGAAAAATAAAAAAATATAACTTGGAAATTTATAACAGTAATATTAATTAAAAAATAATAACACAATGTACATAATAATTTAAATTTTAATGGATTATATAATAATATAATAGATTCCTTATGCGGTAATTTATTTTATAAATACCGTTTTGTATCGGATATAAACAAAAGTTATAATATTTTATAGAATAAATAGTATAAATCGTATAGAAAAAAAGAAGAAGAAAAATAAATAATTATGATTTTTATTGAGTTAGTAAAAAATATATTATATTCAAATGATATGTGTGTCGTGTCAGTTTAAGGTCGTTATCGTTGTTTTATACATGAAAATATACACTTTTTACTTCACTCAATAAATTATCCTATAATTATTACATTTAGATGGTGAATGTATCAAAGTTCATCATGATTATAAATAATTTATAACACTATGATTTTTTTTTTTTTTTTTTTTGGTGTTCTACTGAAAATGATGTGCCAAATGAGCATTATAAAAAGAAATTACATTCAAAAAGTAGTGCTAGTAGACGATAAAAGTACCTATATATAGAACATGGTAGTACATTGGAATCGTTTACAGCGTGTTTCAGAGGTTGTATTCGTTTGTAAATATGGAAGCCAATTTTTTTTTTTATCGCAAATATTTTACTAGTATAAATCTAATCTTATGTCAAAAACATTCATATGTTTAGAGAAAATAAAATAATATTTATATACTGTCCATAAAATATACTAAGTTCTTGTCTATAATTCAAAATAATATTTGCAGTTTTTCTTTCTTCTTTGTGATATTCAGCGAATTTCGCACCAAACACATAAATATTATTTTTTTTAACGTCCACGTAAAATGTACACTTTTATTACATTATATAGCTGAAACACCCTGTGAATTATATACCAGTTATTATAAGTTATGAAACGGGAATATAAAAATGTAATTATTACTACTGCGATGTACCTTAAACAATGTAAGAATAAATATTAAAAATTTTATAATAATTAAGTTTTAAAGAAAACACTGATACCTATGATATAAACAATTTAAAAGTACAGGCGCTTTAGGCGCTGTAAAATACTTGGCATGTCGGTTATTACCAATACATCACGTATTTACGTTGGACAGATATTATGAATATATTTTTATCCGTAATTAAAATTTGGAGTCTGGCCGTAAAACGTTATTTAGAAGTTGAGATTAAAATTTAATAATAATTATTATGAAAAAAGTTGTACAATAATAAACAAGCAAATCCGGGTATAAAATTGCGTTATTAAAAAAAAAAAAAACCAAACGTAATAAACATGTATAATGGCTCATCGGGCACGCGTTGTTAAGACAAATGATATATTCAACACATATTTATAATGATATATTTTTAATGTAATACATTTTGTATAACTAGATAATATTAATAGTAATAATAATAATAATAATAATAATAATAATAATAAACGTCTGATATTAAAAAGATATGTTTAAAGTTATACATTATATGATATGTTTTGTGTTAGCTTTATGTTTGATATGTATTGTGAATCAAAACCGAATGTATACGATTAAAATAGTAAAGTATTATAGTTCGTTTTAATTGACTGAAAATAATTGTGGTAATTATGTTTGGGAATGGAATTCGTGACGATGGGAGTGGACGAAATAATAAATGGTTTTTTTTTTAAATTTTGGATGGATATTCGTACCTATAAAGGTAATTATATAAATAGGAATAGAAAATTACAGAGGATATTATAATTGTATACAAATCCGATATTTTATTAGTAAATTAATCTAGAAAACCGGTGTTGACTAGCTTTTCGAGGAAAAACTTCACATCGCCTAGTTCGGAGTCTTTGATGCCCAGGCTTTTTAACATGCCAATATCACCATTCTCGACGGCGATAAACACTGAACGTAAATGCTCTAAGTCAGATCTCATTAGATGGAGAGCAGCGCCAAAGTCTTCGATTGTTTGTGATTCTATAAACATAAAATACACATTATACATTTATGTATAAATGAAATACCACTGTTTTGTTTAGTTAATATTTTTATTTTGATTTGAAAAAAAAATTATTCAATTTATTATATATTATTTATGCTAGTTATATTATTATTCCAAAATAGTATTTATAGTTCTATCATGTAATATCTAATCTAAACTCTATCAGAATAACCTATCATGTATAGTATAATCTGGAGTATCACCCGCGAATTCCCCAGTTATAAAGGTAAAATCAGCTGGCAAAAGAACTTTGCATAATTTTGTCCAAACGATTGAAAACACAGAAAATTTACAAATAACTCATTGCTTATACCGAAAAAAAAAATTATATGATTTAGAATGAATTTACTCATATAGATTTTATATCACTTACGAGTATAATTGGCAATCAAAAGATTTACACCACATTACATTTTTCTAAACTAACACTTTAAATAATAATAGTAATAAATATTGTTAAAATAAGTTATAATATATTTATAGATAGAACGTGCCATAAAAATATTCAAAGTCATAGGTAGTTATTAATTATAATTTATAGTAATTATAATTTTATGAAAAATAAGTCGTAATAAGTTAATTTTATAAACATGTAAATTCTTGAATCTTTAGCCAACTTATTCTAAATATTTTAATAAATTTATTTTAAAATTTTTATTTTTATTATTTCAGTAATTCTATTTATTTTTTTCTATTTTAGTCCATTAACTTTAAAAACACAACTTTGACTTCTTCATTAATTAAAAATTATAGACAATGAAAACGACTTAGGTAATTTCCTAGGTTAACAAGCTTTTTATATGATACACTTTTAAATTGATTGTTAATATTTGTCTGGATCAGCACTAAATACCGTATTCAATTGTTCAATAAAAATTATCAGACATGTCAACATTTTTAATAGTAGAAAATTTACTTTCCGTCAAAAAAAAAAAAAAAAAATTGTAAGAAATTTACAAAATTTACAACTTTATATTATAAAGTAAACTGTAAAGAATTTTTTGCTTTTTTTGAAAAAAAAAACGATTGAAATGTTCAACAAAAAATGTCAAACATGATTTTTTAAGTAAATAATAAACATAAGTAATTAATAATTATATCTGACATCTATCCACCAATAAAGGTGACAGCTCTAGATATAGGTGGTATCTATGTCTTGCAATTTTGAACAGTATACGAATATTTCAAAATATTTATTGAATTTATTGTTTATTTTTAGTCTACAAGAAGATAATTTAAACTATATTGGAATTATGGGGCTAATAATTTAATTTTATAGCAATTATACCATAAAATAGTTTAAGTTATTATAATTCATTGTAATAGTTTAATCTATTCTGTTAATTGCTATCATTTAAAGTTTTGAATATTTTATTTAATAGTGATTTAATTGGTAGATATATTTCAAATTCAAGTATAAAATTAAGTCTGTTATAGACAGACCACATTTGGTTATCTCTAATGTATATCTCTAATATAGTACCTACATGGTGCATGCAATAATTGTATTTTAAAAATGTTTGTAATAGATAAAAGTAAAAAAAAAAAAAAATATATATAATTTTAGTATTGTAACAAAGTTTATACAATACACTGCAAAACTATGTATTATTTTTTGCATAAAATTATTTATTATATGTAGAGCTAGTTTGACTACTAGCGTTTAGTGAGACTAAAAAAATATTTGCGTTTCGCCTGACCAGAAATCCTTACACGTGAATGTCTAATAATTAAAAATTTTGATATTTAATTGTTTTTTAATGGTGATATGTTATAAATTATAATATATATACTTTCTACAGCTATCTAATGTGTATTTGTATATACCTATTCTGAAAACAGGTTTTTTTTATTATAATTCAGAATTTATAAACTATCAGAAAATAAAAAAAAATTATCAAATATATTTGATTCTTTTTTAAATTTTAATCGATTTAGGATGAAAGTTGGAAGCTGATAATATTTGGTCCGTAAAATTGCATTTTGTTTTGAAATTTTAATTAATGTGGCATTACAATAAATTAAAATATTATGTTTTACAGTTAACTGTTTGGTGAACTTCGTACGAAAGGACTTACTTATTCTTCAATTTTTCTAAAAATATAAAGTATTATAAAAAAAAATTCAAGAACTAAAACACGACATTCAATAATACTAGATAGAAAAAATGTTTGCTAAAAATGTCAGACTATAATACTATTTATTGGTTTGATTACTAGTGTACTTACGTAAATGTTATATTCTTAAATTCTTATTTAATATAACTGTTCAAAAATTACCATAGATTGATAAGTGATAATATCTAAGTATTGGTATGATGGGCACCTACATATTTATACTATTGAAATCGTGTAAAAACGGGGATGGAATTTCATACTAAAAACAGTTATAAACAAAACTTAGTCTATAAAAAACATTCAAAATGAATAATTAAAAAAAAATATTGGTTCTATTTCCTTATAATAGTGAGTAAATCATTAACCACTAAGAAGTTCAAATCACGAGTTGAACTGGAATAAAGTTCTCTATTATATATTATATACCTTATATAAAGTACCTACCTAATTTATGTGCTCAATGATATCATTGATAGATGTGAAGGATATTTGTTGAATTATTTTATTCTTTAAAAACCATGATCCGAAAATTCATTTTAATTTTTATATAACAGTCGATCATATCTACCTTCATAAACTTGTATTTTATACATTATTCAATGTAGCGAAGTGAAGAATTGTTCAATATATTTTATTATTTGCATAAACTTTTTCAGTTAGTAAAAGAATTATTGATTGAATCTCGACTTATGGCAGATTAATCGCAGGCAAAATAGATTATTTTATAAAAATAATTCCTCATAAATATTTCATGAAAATGTAAAAAACTGTATTGGGAGTTGTGACCTATTAAGATTGGAATACATGGATCGATTGCAGACAGACAGCGCAAATATCTTTTTTTACAATTTTTAGTTCAAAAATGAATAAATAAACATCTAACAATTTTTTTTGTTATTAGCTTATATTAAACTTGTAATGGTTTCTTATTGTATTAAAATATATAGTAATACACTAATCCGTAACCAATAGTAAATATGGCACTGGATTACGTAGATACGTTAATATGAGTAAAGCAAAAATCGTATTGCTTGGTATCAAGTATCTATTTCTATTTGTTAATTACCAATGTTTTTGATGTTATAAATAATTTCAGAATTTTAGAGTATTGATAATAAAGTTTATTTATATTAATTTAGATTCGTTACGCATAAACTGTATGTATTAGTGTTGGCAATTATTTTGATATACGGGTTTAAATTAGGCACCAAATTATTTTAATTATATTTAAAATTATTTGTATTAAATCAGTTGAGTACTAAGATTGTAAATAAAATAGTTTTATAATTAATATAAATAATAATTCGATTAGTGATAATCATCATTAAGATTTTAATAAAAAATATAAATACGAAATTACAAAAAGGAAACATATTGATCATCAGTGTTACAAAAATATCAAAGAATAAAACAATGCCACTCGAATTTCTAAGATAATATTTCTAAATATATATAATATTAAGTATAAGAATAAGCATAGTTACTATAAGTTTTAAAAATATTTCCCAGCACTAGTTAATCATAAATATAATATATATTTTTATTTATTCATAATTTAAAAATTTAATTCGACTTAATCGATATTTTATTGAACTGATTTGACTTAAGATTGTAATCTATCTTTTTACATACCAGAAAGAGTGATTGCAACTTTTTCGACGCCTCCTAATGGCTCCAATGCATCCCTTGCTTTACTGCCAAATAATTTTTCCAAGTAGTTTGGTCCATGACTAGCTAAAAGTGACTGTAAAAAACTTGCCGTTTCTTCAACCGGTGGTCGCTTAGCTGAAAATTATATAAAATCATATCATCATGATATCCAAGTAATATAAATTATCATATTTAAGTAATCAACTAAAAATTGTATTACTTTATATTATGTTTAAATAATTCTAATTTTTAAATTTGACTATGTAAAAATCCTAATGTTGAACAATAATGATTTTTTTTTATCAAATATGATAAAAAATATTAAAATTTTGTGAACTGTAAATTTATAGTTTATTTATTTTATTTTTTAGTTATACAAATTGACTATAATGTATTAATGTTTTTTGATTTATATCGTTATCAATTATTACATAATTATAATTATTGAGACTTAAAAAATATTTAATCTAAATTATGAATTCTATCAAGAAACTGCTTTGTACCAATGATTACATACTATATGACTAAGAATATTAGGTAGAGTTGCAAAATGTAATCGTTAATTATATAAAAACAAGCACTGAATTATGTAAATTTATATTTTGTCATGAAATGAAGATCATAGCCCATTTGGCCTCGTTTCTCTAATCAGCTCCCGTTTTACAAAAAGTCAATTTCCAAACGGCTCTCGTCTAAAAAGATCTAACGATCAGATAAATTCCTAAATTGCTCAGGTTTTTTAAAACACGAATTTCTTCCCACTTTATACAGACTTAGGACTGTCTCAAAAGAGGTATGGTTAAAAATGTCTTGGTGTACGTTAAGTAAATTATTAAAATTATAAAAAAAGCTTATAGTATAATATGAAATTTTAAATTTTTAACTTTAAAAAATATAAATTATGTAAAAAATGTTTGTATAAATAAAAATATTAAAAAAATCATATATCGGGTAAATTTGTTGGGCAAAATTTTTTTATATAGTCTATGCGTGCTATTTTATTTGATGAAAACTAGTAAATGATTTTTTTAACGACCACTTGTTTTTTTCTTTCGATCAGATAGGCGTGCATATGTCTAAAAATTATTTAACGTTTGCAATCATACAATTATACCTGTTTGTACACTTTTTTCGACGAGAGCCATTTGGAAATAAGCAAACAATAGATGGGAGACGTTTGGGATTCGACGGAAATGAATATAGTTAAATAAGTATTAAATAACTTTAAAAGTAATTCTAAAAGTATGTAATTTAACAGTATGATTTTTAAGACATTGTTAATCATTTTTGGAACTTGGAGGTTTCACATTATTAATTTATTATTTTTAAAAAAATTATGCCTATTAAATTTTATCGCTTTATCAGTAATATTTCTATAGATACTAAGTTCTCTTAAATACCTATGCATTAATTTCCCATAATATTAACTAATTTATGTTAATACTTGCTAAGTCATGCACACTTAAATGAAATATATTTAAGTATAATTTATAATTTATAATCTAATAAACTTTTTGAACTTTATAGTTATAGAGAAAATCTTTCGATAATTGTGATTTATAAGAAAAATAGTTTTTCTTATATAGTCCAGATTTCTGAATTTAAAATTAAGTTTATTCAAAATGGAATTTAGAATTATTTATTAAGGTAACAAATAACAATATAAAGTAGTAAATTAAGCATACATAATTACAGTTGGGTAATTCAAATTAATTAGTGGACGTTTCAGTAAATTAGTTGATATTGACCATTATATACATGCACGTATTTCATAGTCTTTATTGACTTCATTAAAATAGAAAGTTAATTATGCTTAAATTAATCAAAAAATAAAACCAATTGCAAGTTAATGTGTAATTAGTGTATTAAAGTTTATATTAAAACAAGTTTAAAATGGAATTTAAGTGTATTTTTGTATCATAAACTATTTTGTCATATTAATACTTGCAGTAATTATCAAGCATGTTACAGGAGATTATATAATTAAGTAAATTTCTATTCATTAAAAGATTAAGAAACTTTGTAGTTATTGTTTATTATTTTTTGAAATACGTTAGTATATAATAATAATAATCAGGTATTATTTATGTTTCAACAATTATTACATATGTACTTAAAAATAATTTAATATATTAAACGATAAAAGAAAATGTAAATAGAGGATCAATGACCAAATTTTTTTATTGTGCTTCAAAATAAAATTTGAATACTAGAATTTAGATTTTAAAATATACATTAGATAAATATACAGCAATTATACCCGCAGTGCAGAGTCTGGCATCTTCATCATAACCATCTGGACAATCGGGTGCTCCGTCACATAAATATTGAATAGAAATACAAGCGCCGTTTCCAGGACATTTGAATGGTTCATATGGGTGGCATGGTTCTCCTAAAATGAATTTGAACGTTTGTTATTAATAAAACTTTGTATGATATTATGTAACCAATAATTTTGAATTTATTTTTTAACTGTTTGAAATAATAAGTATAGTACCTATGTCTTATGTACTTAGTAAAAATTATATTCTTATTAAGTGATTTCTATCAATTAGTTTTTATGTGTATATTATGAATTAATTATCTTTATTCATCAAAGTTTAAAATGATAATTTTTTTCTTCTTTCTAAAGTCTACCTGCATATTGTCTCTTGAAAAAATGATGTTCATATGAAACGCATTACACATAGAAATTAATGTAAATTTCATGAAAAACAATTTAATTTATTTTCTAAGTAGATACTCGTATTTTTATAAAGGTTGAAATTTTTTCACTTAATATATTTGGCTCACAAAAATATATTTTTTTGATATTGGTTATATACCTATTTATATGTGGTACTAATTTTTTGCTACTTATTGTGTATTAGACATAATATTATAATATGTAAAATATATTCGCTTATACTTCGGATATCGCCACCGACCACTATACAAAAATAGTTGCAGTTTATCTTAGAGACAATTTTAAATTTAAAAACTCACATCCGTCACTTGCTGTCATTGGTTTTATTGATTGCTTACCTAAGGTTCGATTTCTTATTTTTAAACTACAATATAATGATGTGTACAAGTTACTCCTATGTGCAGCATTGTCCTAATATTACCTTGTCTAACAATATGTCAAATCAAAATTAACATTTTGCTTGAACCCGTTAATAGCTCACACCATATTTTAAACCAATGAATACCACAATGATTGCGTAAGGTTATTTAAAATTGTTACCTGTTATTGGTATAACAACATTATTTTGTAAATTCCATTATTGTACTTAATCATTTATTATTATGATGTATAGTTTGTTGGTCCGTTATGAGGTTTCATATATAGAGGTTTTCGCACACCAATTTTTAGCGTAAAATTCTTGAATACCTAATTAAAAAGTTTTTCGTTCGAAACCATATGGAATAAAGCAATACTCAATAAAACTTTTGAAGTGACACGTTATTTAGAATTTATCCCGACTAGACTTAATAATTTATAAAAATACATATTTTTTCACCTTGTTAGAGACAAGAATATCTTTTAGTATTTTATAATCATACTGTTGGAGTTATAAATATTTAAGCGTGACCAATACCGCTATCATATTAAATATTAACTACAAACCACAACTCGATGTGAATGATGTGATACATCCTATTTTGTATAAATTATTAATTTGATATTTTAGAAAATACTAGAGAACTGTCTGCTTTGGAAAAAATAAAACGCCCTTTAAACTAATTGTTTTAACACAGATCTTATACAAAGCAGTTATGATAATTGGCATTCCAATTGGAAGGTGGAAGGTGTAGGGTTGGGTGCACATATTATTTAGTATCATATTCGTAATTTTAATTTTGCAATAATAACGTCTACCGTTTTAAAAGTATGATATTATGTTGTAATTTAATAACGGGTATTAACTAGAAACGAGGTATTCAACGAAGGTGTTGGTGGTGGCTTTTGTATTAATTAGTCACCATAACTACAAAATTAAACTCGAGTGTCGCTGACCTATAGCCAAAAATAAACGAATACAGTGCAAACATTGAAACAGAGGGGGTATAGATTCTATTATGAACTTGGGTAATACTGGTTTGCCACATTCCTCAATGCTTGTTATGAATAATTAATAGTTGTTGAGATTCTAGACTGCTTTTACAAACCATTTTATGGAGAGGTAGGTACACCTAATTAATTTAATCGACAAATTAATAAATTATTATACAATAGAAATTTAGTATTTTCGTGTATAATATCCACTATGGTACATCCGGTCATATTAAAATAGTAGCTCTGTATTTACATTAAAATTGATTATTGTGTAGTTTAAAGTTTAGGAGATTTAATAAAATACATTTTAAACTCTTAAAGCAAGCTAAATTATGATAAATTAAATTTCTGTTGACAGTTTTTATATATTTGTTCTCGTAACCATGTCAAAATATTTTGATCAGTTTTCAACAGCATAGACTATAAATTATCGGTATTTTATAACCTAAATCACGTTTCTGTGCAAATAAGAATAACTATTAAAATTTTTTATGAATTTTTATATTATGGTTGTAAAACTATTAAATTAATATGCGTAATACTGAACTTTTGACTATTTAAAAACTGTAAACTAAGTAAATGATTTAAATCCTCTGTATTAATTATAAAAATGTAAATAATATTTTTAGATAATTATAATTTACTAAATTATTTATTTGAATTTTAATATTTTAATTATTTTAGTTATTATTGGTTATATATTTAATAATCTTTTAATCAATGATTGTTAAAATGTCAAATAAACAGTTTGTTCATAATTTGATAAAATATTATATTTAATAAAAAAATACAATTTCAAAAATTTCAATAACTTAACTTAAAGGTAGTTGAATTTTTGAATCAGGATCACAGAAATATTTTAAAAATAATAATTTATTTTCCGTTACTAAAGATAATAACACGTATTATTTATGATCAAATAAGACATTATATTTTTCTAATAATTTAGTATCATATATAATATATATACATGGTGTATATCACTATATTATTGTATAATTAAAACAAAGAAAATATTAGTTCATTATTAAATTTTTGTAAATCATGTTATTTATAGATCTAGTTTACGGTTATACCTATAAATTTATTAAATAAACAATATACATACATATTTATTACTTGTATACCAATACTTTAATACCGTAGCTTTATAAGGTATAATATAAAGTATGGAGCCAAAATCTCCCATCTTCCTAGTATAATAAAGATTTAAGTCCTTTGGTATTGTTGTATTTAATCTTGTTAACAAATACTCAGTAATATTAAATGTAAATACATAAATATTATTAAAAATATTATCTATATAGCAATACAAATAAAATCGTTCATTAAATAAAAAAAAAATATACTTATGTTTTAAAAAATAAATTCATGTAATTAAATTAGATTTTTAATTTTTAGTATGTTGTATTTATATTATACGTATCGTCTATCGTGTATAAAAAAAATAAGTAATTTTTTTAATTTTATGTTTAGATTGTATAACCATGTTGAATTTATTTCATCAAAAGTTTAAGTACCTACATAGTGCATAATTTTACATTTATGTAATATAGTATTATTAAAAACATAATAATTAAAGGTTCAATGTTAATATAAATACATTTTATTTCTTTATAGTAGTACTAAAACTTATTTCAACAAAATATTTTATTATTTAAGCTTATACGAGTAGTGGTTTTGATAAAAGCTTTTCGACTGGCCATTTAAATTAAAATTAAAATATAAGTGTAAAAAATAGTTTGATAATTGTTTTTTGTTCAAACGTTTAAATATACAAAATTGCGATACCTTTACAATAGTTAGCATAATCATTAACAGTACTTACTTAAATATTATTTTTAGTAAAAGTTTAAACATATCAACATTTTTATTATTAAAATGGGTTTATTCATATCGAGTGTTATTTAAAGTATAATTGAACATTTGATGTAAATATTTTAACACTTGTTAGGTATTTAATATCAATTATTATTTGTACAAAATTATTTTTAAATATATTTTAAATATGTAAAATTTAAATATAAAATAACATATATTTATTTATGAATTTATTTAACATTTATTAATAACGCATTAATACTACATGTAAAAGAATCTTAAATTATATTCAATGATCAGATATTTATGTCATTTTATTACTTTGTTAATTAAATAATGTATTTTAATATTAAATTAACAAAAATTAAAAATAACTTTAAAACTATATTATTGTAAATACATGTATTATTCTAATTTTTGACAAACACCATATAAGAGTTATATACCTGCTAAAACTTACATTCAAATGAAAATTACAATTTAAAGCTCAGACACAGTTTATAACTAAACTTTTACCATAATAATGTGTATGTGCTCATGTCAATATGTAAACACATTTTACTACAAAGTTATTTTATAAATTCATTTCACTTAAATTGTTAAATATTATTTTTTTTTATTATTAAAGAAATTAAATAAAAAAGAAAAAGAAAATAAATAATTAAGTGAATTGAATTTGACAAACATTATTATATTGTGAGTTATGTTAATTAAATAATATTCAGTCCATCAGAATAGTTGTATATCATATTAAGTATTAGAAGTACTTTTCATTTATGACCTTTTCCACCCTATCTAATAGTGCTGTAAAAAAAAACTGTTTTGTTATTGAAATCAATATATTATACGTCACCATATTTTGTTATAATATAATAAATACGTATTCTGTTTCTGTAATTTTTGAGCTGACAATAGTGACGTGCCAATTATTATAGTAAATTTATTATAAACTACCCAAAATATAGTTAAAATATTTATTTATTTAAGATAATATTTAATAGAAATTATATTTTTAGGAAGTTTAAAGAAACAAAAATTATTTTAAAATAAAAACAAAAATTAATATTTTTGATATTATACTACCATATATCATATATTAAAATAGTTGAGCAATACGAACTTTTGTTAATTTGAAATTAAAAATAAATCTTAAGTAACAATTTTAATTCTCATATCATATTTTATGATCTGAAGTATAATATTGTTATTATTCTGCAATTTTAAAAAAAATCGTTCAGTATGATCAAATAAATAATAACCTTCATAAATAATAATTAAAAATACCAAACACATTTATTAAAATCTTTAACAAAAACGACTGCATTGCATGAAATGTAATTGAAGTAAAATTAGTTTGAACTCTAAATTACTATTTTTTCGGTAAGAATTAATATTTTGGTTTATAAATTCAATTATAATATGATGAAGGAGCAAACAAATGGGTTTTTAATTTTTTTTATTTTCCATCGTCGAAGTAAATAATAATCATAGAAATGAGATACACATTTGAACTATTTGAATTTTGTTTTTAT